CCTTCTTGAACTCAATGACCTTTTGGGAAATCCCCGAGGATTCCCCAATAAAGTTCATGGTATCGACCGCTCGCATGACAATTCCACGATTCTCCGTTCTGATTTCTGGTTTGACGCAGACTTTGATCACATCTCCTGGTACATATCTACGAACTTTGGGCAAATCTAGCGGGAAATCATTGTCATTGCACTCGTAGGCAATTCCTGTGACTCGATTGTTGTTGGATTGGAGCGCACGATGGTTGTTTGGATCGTTTTGGTTTTGACTAGGATTATCAATCGGAACGTAGCGACTGCGTTTTTCCTTGGCTCCCACTGCAGCTATCAAGGCAGAGAGCCATAATAGCGTAAGGTACTTCATAGTGTTAAATGTATGCTGATGGTTAGCTCCGATGTGTGTACGTGCACCACTATCAACAATCAACAATCGCCTTGGGCAAGATCTCACTCCAAAAACTTTTACGTATGTCCAGGAAAGTACCAGGAAAGGTCATTGAGACTTTTCCAGTCCTAATTGAATTGATCAATTCGAATGCTGCACGGAAAGCTAAAAGCATTCTAAAAATAAGGCTACCAGCAGGTACAAACACTACTGTAACTGGCGGAAAACAAGGCAAAGTGCAAAGATTCTTTGACACCACTATGACTGTAATTCAATTTTAATTCATGTGGCACTTTAGTTATCGCGCTACCGTCTTCTTGACGACAAGCAGAACGCAGCAGCAGCCAGCTTGTTCTTGTTCTTCTGGCCAGCAGCTGCCAGCATCCACGCAGCACCAAGAAGAACACCACCGCCCAGCAAGACCCCCAATAAATTCTCATTGTCCACGCACGACCGGGCCTTTTCCGCAAACTCTTCGCCTTCTTCCTCAAATCTTGCAAACTACTCAATTAGTTTGTCATTCATTGCAAGGATTATTTGTGTGATACGGTACTACGGTACTGTACATACGGTATGTACAATGACCGTCCGTCTTGCGTTTTGCCCTACCTCCACCTGCTCTCCGGAGTCAGAATTTTTCGGTGTCCGGAATCATCCGTTGACTGCGGTTGCGCGTGTGCCGTGCGGAAGCACATGGTTTTGCTCGTGGGAGAACCAATTTCAAGGACGGCTTGGCGACAGAGCAAC